CACGAGACCAATCTCTAAGCCACTGACCACGGAGGGTCGAGTATGGGAGTGGATGTACGGGCTGGGAGGCGACGTTCCTGGCGTGACACCAGGGTACAAGACCTCGTCTGGCAGACAGCAGGCCAGTCCACTGAGAACACTATTCAAGCATGTAGCCAAGAGTTTGCCTTGTGTATTCTGTGAGGCTCGGCTATCTATCAAGGATGATGTAGCTACTTGCGCAAACCGCCATGCATTCGGTAAGGGGTCAACTTGTTTTCTTCCTTCTCTCTCTTGTTTAACGTCATGCTAACGCTCAATGCAGCTATATGTGCCACATCTGGCATCCCCATCTTGGCACCCGGGATATCTCGAGTCTGTGGCGTCTGTAAGATGCGCTGTCTCAAGGTCTCTGAGCTGGAGAAGTTGGCGGAGGAGCACCTCGGGAGGGTTGATGCGGTGGGGGATTCGCAGGGAGAAGTGTGTGGAGGTTGTGGCGGCAAGTTTGTCGTTTGAGGGCAAGCTTTGTGTCTCTATCTTTACTCGGCGTTGGGGAAGCATCTATGTAGTTCAGCATGCTGTGATGTGTGGGGGAATAGCACAACAGTCGGCTTCATATCTTGTGTAATGCGTACTAGTTGAAGAAATGCCGAATCAACACTCCGTGTAAGATGACGACATGGTGAGCTGTCAAGTGAATTCGTGATGCGCCCAAAGACGCTGCACGATGCCGCTCTCTGCCTGGACTTTCACTTCAGGAAGACGGATAAACGCTTTGATTCCACATCATAGACACAGCAGGACGTGTGAATGACTCATTTGATGGCGTGTCAACGGGCTATTGCGTTCATTTTATCGCGTCTCTGCATTAGAACGTGGATGAAGCGGTGAATGACATGGATATACCATCTTGATTGATCTCTTCCCGTTTCTGAAAACAAAAGTCCAGTGAATTAGGTCAGGTTTGTTGTACATAAATAGGTCGTCTGTTTCCATTACAATTTTGTCTAAACAGTCCATAACTATATAAACCACTTGACTCTGGACCACAACTGACATGGCCGACGAAGACTACAGCAGAGACACGATTGAACACACAGACACACCAACACACAGATCATACACACAGACAAACCACAAAGATCGGAAGTCTTTAGGCTTTTTTATCACCCAACAGACTATACTATTGCATGTAAGTCCCTCTCTGCACTGACAGTGGTAAAGTTTGCACTGGATTAACTGACGTCCCTGGCGTAGCTGTTGCTACTGCCAAAAAAGAAAGCTACTATGCTCTTCTGACGATATCGAGGTAAATAACTCCATGCCCTTAAGCGCCTATATCACTCGGGCCCTAGAAGCGGTTATACGCGATACAACGGCTGTTACTGTTAGTGGTCTCAAACGCCATCAGCGTGAGATGTTCTCATTCGAGACCATAGCGCCACTGCCCGCAATGTGACCGCGCACGCATAATACGCCAGAGGTGTTGCCGCTGTGAAGTTCTATCACAAGCAGGCAACCAATATGAACCTGGAAGAACAAACCGAATACATCACGAACATCGACATTTCCCACTCTCCTTCTGGAATCACCTACACACGCTTCCAGAGGCCCTTCAGAACATTGCCTCGCATGTGAAACAGATACTCTGCCGATTTACACTATGCTCGGGCAATCCTCCAGGATATATCTAGAACACCAGAAAATAGCGACAATAACACTTGTATATTACATGTGCCCCTACCACACTATGTTGACCGCATCGAGCGATTCATCAACAGCTATACATACGATCTCCATATCCACTGTTCATCCATTCTGTCTCTATCACTAGAAAAAAGGCGTGAGAGATGACAACAAAGAGAACGAATACAACGGCTCAATCATGGCGGCACACGGCCTCCCGTGTCTGGACATTGTTTCTAACGCCGGGCTTTCTACTCTGGTCCAAATCCAGTTCTACTGGATGCCAATCAACGTCCAAAAGTTCTCGACTCTCACTACTATGGCGAAGCCAGGATCTAAAAAGCGACAAAGCCGTCAATGAAATGCTTCAATCTACGGTGTCCGATGTGCAGAGAAGCTCCTTCCATGAGCTAGAGACAGGACAAGTTTTTAAGCTCCCATGTTTTCAGCGAATATAGCAGAATATGAAGAAGGTCGTAAATGTACAATGAGCTGTCATCGGCTTGCAGCTTTTTCTGGCGTAGCTGAACTTTGGAAGCTCAATCACGCCTAATAACACGGGGATACTTTCACTTCATTCTAGAAAATGGAGCTCCCAACAACAAGAAATAATACAACCTTAAATCGACAGACCACAGTGAGTATCCACGCGACACTCACATCCCTTGAGAGCCACCACATGGGCGGATACAAGACAATGAGCAAAACAGGCAGCAAGAAGCTCGGGCACACGAAAGATTATGAGCAACTCAACAGCCGTCACGACAACCCAAACAAACAATGTGACAGGCTGTCTTTTAGGTGACGCTTCCGACACCTTCGAATGTGTGCCTCTGGCTGTGGCTTCAGAGACGCAAACTTTTGTGGCCAATATCAACATCATGACTACGGGGGTAAATCTTCACGAGGCTTATCGCATTGACATTCTTGCAAACAACCATTTCAACCCAAAGACTGCGCTCCCGACTCTATAACGGCCTTCCATATGAAGACTATCTACCCTATGCGAACGAGCGAAACATCAATGTTCACCAAAACGCACACAAACGAATGCGCAAATGGATGCCCCTCAGCATCAATCCTCAGCGATAACCCTCCCTTATTGGGAAATCTCACCTCAAGTGGTTTACAGAAAGCCTTGAAATTATGTGTCTAGACTTTTAGGGGAACCAAGAGTAACAGACGAAGTATTTGGCACCAAGAGCGAAAGATTCCATTCGATATTTCATGTCTCGGTTCTTGGAACACCACCGGAAATATCTACGCTATGAGCGACATGACAGACCAAACTAATCCAGGTCATTCTCACTGCTGTTCCCCTGTATCTTACTTAAGAATTATGACACCTGCAAGAACTCGGGAGCCAAGGATGCCAAGCCTGTTCGAGATACATTCTTCTACAGCTCAGAGAATGCCCTAGACTTTGGCGACGTCCCAGACCATCTGCCTGCATTATTCGCAAGTGGAAGAGATACTTATTGCCCGCGTCCACATACATGTGCAAATATTCCAACACCGAGGGCGGCAGTATAAATACCGTAGCCATGTTATCTATTTCTTGCGCGACACAGGAAGCGTCTACTCATACCTAGCTTCCCCTCTTTTCCCCAAGCCTTATCATCCTCCGGCCAGCCAACGAAACAACACAACCACACATGACTCGGCAATTCAAGAAGCAATTCCGCGTTAGACAGGACGCCAATCGTAATCGCCACCGATCAAGTGTTTGGCATCAAGAGCGAAAGATTCCCTTCTATATTTCACGCCTCGTTCATCGGAACACCATCACAAATGCCCACACCATGAGCTATAGCACAGGCCGAGGCACTCCATATCATCGTCACTATCTTTTTCTTATTTTCAACTTACGAATCACGACATCTCGCTATTTAAGGTGTCTTTCACAGTTGCAGGTCAAGGCAAAGATGCCTTGCAGACAGGCTGCCGCCATAATTGGACGGACCTTTACATAGCCTCTGCAGACAGACGGCGAAGCGAAAGCCATGACAATCCCAAATACAGCCGCTGGCCGAGAGATTCCTCTGCCACCGCCAACGCAGGAGTATGGCTCATTCGAACGACTTTATTCGACGCCCTACAGACCTTCTATCGCGACAACGGCGCAGCACTTGTGAAGAAATCACCCAGGAACGAGGGAATTGTCAACGGCAAGAGGATTCCAACTTGGTACGCGATCGAGGCTCTCACATACTGAAGGATTCAAGAATCAGGAATGCAGCGACTAGAAAGGTCGACTACCAGTTCAATCTCACAAACTCATGATCAAATATTGTAATAAGATGCGAAAAATAGTGCGCGGGAATATAGGATATCTACATGTACTAGGCTAGACATAGCGAGGAACGACTTATTGCTCTGATGGAAGACATTCCCTAAGAAAAGTCATTCAATCCACAAACCTCATACCACACGCTCAATGGTATTCTCGATGACATTTACGCCATTCGGAGAAACTTGCATCAAGCTACACCTAGACCAATGAAATTCATACCTTTATGTGTTGGTAGTAGCAGAAAGTGTGTCAGATTTATCAAGTCTATTATTACTAAGATTGCCACAAATGCCACTGGGAGTGTGTAATCAAGATCATGAGGCCACGACTATTTTTGGTGACGAGCAATTGCTCAAGTGACCTGATACCAGCCTATAATAGCAGATACATCCATGGAAGATCCTTGGTCTTCAGAACTACCAGCTGCTAGAGTAATAAAACTCATATACTCCGTATAGTCAATAAGGATCCTTAAGATTAACAAAGTATCTTCATTAAAAGCTTCACTTATATGAAACTGTATCTTCATATAATAACCTAGAACGATGGAACTCTGACTCGAGCGTGCTTCAACGTCATGTAATTTCTCGTACATGAAAGTACACCAGAAAGGCCATCCACAAACCAGGGCTGGCAAGAAGACGCGAGCGCGAAATGCTTACCTCAGAGCGCCCAGTCAGCAGCCTCGTGTCGTGTTGCCATACGACTTCATAAGTGAAATGCTACGCTCTTCTCTTGCAAGGGAAGAACAAGCGTCGGCTGTCGCCGTTATACGTCCACCAATCTGCCGCCGTTGATACAGATTGTCAAAGCTGCCTTTCGCATTCACTGGTCAGACATTTCGACCGATGATAACAAAAGACCTAGTTCTGTATCGAATTACAAATACATATCCAAAACAAAACAAATTCGCCAGAAGCTAGGATATATAGTATCCTTATATAGAGAATATCGGGCACATTCTAAAGACGGTTAGGATATGTAATCGAACGTAAATTAACGTGCATTACCAAATTATTATTATTGTCTCATGTTTCTATACGCTGATGGGGATGACCAAACTAAAACCAACACGCTTTCATCTACATGTATCCACAGTTAAGGCCGACATCAATCCAGCCCCAGCCATAAGCACTACTTTCCTCTGACTTGACAGGGCACAGCAGCAAATCCAGTCTAATAGGGTATCTAATGATTTGCTTCCCAAAAAAAGCACCGATTTTTTTTTTTTAAATCGCCATCATGAAAGCGAGTGCGAGGGCGCCAATAGAGATAGACAAAGATACACTGCCGTTATCCTTGCCGTCTTTGTCGGAAGAGCTGTCGCCTGAGCTGCCGCTGCCACTTCCACTGCTGCCTCCCTTTCCAGAGCTGCTGCCACCACTGCCACCACTGCTTCCGTTGCCATCGCCGCTGGTGGAGTTGTCTGAGCTGCTGTCGTTGTCTGCAATCTCTCCGCCAAAGGACGTTCGGCCGGGGGAGACACTCCTTGCCAGGGTTGAAGCGCGCTTCTTGTAGTCGTCGAGGGTCTGGTTGCCCTTGGGGTTGATGATGCCAACCATGCCGCCGGCGCACTCGTTGCCCTGCGAGGAGTAGAACGGAATGGTGTCGGTTCCGTTGATTTCTACGCGAAAGACTTTGTCCTAAATGTCACGTTGTTAGGATATGGCCACCTAAAAGTAGTGAGTGAGAAAGAGACGTACATTTTCGCCGCTGGATGTCGCAAAGAAGCCAGAGAAGAAGCCGGTGCCGAGCTCCAAGGGAGAGCAGGGGTAGCGATAGTCACCAGCGACGACAGAGTGGTTCTTGGGCTCGAAGATGAACTCCAAGACGTCGCCATCGTTTGCCTTGATGGTTGAAGGATCAAAGGTGTTGGAGGAGGTGGCTGTGATCTTGATGGTGGTTGCGTTGGCCAGGTACGCAAGGGCAAATGCCGAAAGGAGGCTCTTGATGGAAGGCATTTTGTATGTATGCGAGTATAATCAAGCGCGATGATCTATATATAAAAGAAAAAGAAAGCAAACGCTAGATGATTGAAAGCAAGAGGATCCTATTTGAGAGCAATGCAGAGCAGCTTACTTTACAAAAAGGAGAACAACAACAAGAGCTGGGACATAGCTCCTTAAATACGGAGGTCGATCCCGAAGGATTCGGATAGCTCCCTCTCGTATTACACGTTGATTCTCGTGAACAGGAGGGTCCAATGGCGCAGATCTTGGAAAAACACGAAAAAAAAGCCCAAGCAACTGGCCAACGAGCATCCGATCTTGGCTCAAATCAGTCTGCGCCACGCAAAGCCCCCATGCATCCATGCATGTTTAGCTGTGTAAGTTGGCGCCCCTTTGGGAATAGACTGCAGTCGTGTCTTGGGAGCTTACAGTCACTGAAACATCATTGTCGGTGTTATGCGATGCCATTACGGCGGCGGAAAGCTGTCATTGAAATTGATAATGGATGCGAAAATGTCACATTTGTTGTCATGCAAGTTGTGCAGCTTCTTTTTTTGCCAGCAGAGCAGCCCTTGGAGGTTGTATAAGAGGCAGCAATACTTGGACTTGGGCTTCTGACAACCACCAAGACGCTCGGACCAGGAATAGGATCATTAAGGCACGGGTATGTAAGCATCAGGCAGCGTCTCACCGCATCCAAATAGTCCCAGAGCTATGCCGTGCCAAATATAGTAATCCAGTGGTTTTTTTTGTCCGAGTCGCTATTTATACTCGGACGCATGAACGAGTTGGCCGCTAGCCTTGCCCAGATCTGGGATCTGGGATGTGGCTGTGGTGCTTAGTAAAAAAAAGAACAGGAAAAAAATAGGGACACCAAAAACTTCCCGCTTTGGGTAAAAAGGACGGCATTGGGGAAAGGGAACAAAGCCTTAGGCCGGGACAGCAGTTCTTGCAGCAGTTCTGGATATTCCCGAGGAGTAAAGCCGTTTTGCCGTCCAGATGGACGCATCATAATCGTACGACACGATGGATCTGAATCTCGGGGAATTATGAATTATCTTCAACGACTTCGGCGACTCCTGGACCACAGTTCAGCTCTGCTAGGGGCAAGTAAACGGAGACGGGATGGCAAAACAAAACAACACTTGAAGCATGAGTATGGCCGCATATCGGCCGCGGAACCCAGTGGCGGAGGTCCGTGATTTTCGGGGACCCTTCCTTGGCATTGCCATCGGTGCCGGCTCTGGCCATCGGCTCTTGGTTCGCCGCGACGGCTCGAGTTGTCTAGTTTCATGTAGTGTAACCATTGGTTGGTTAAAGCTGCGGAAGAAAAGAGATTTGGGTCGACAGCTCAGGCCCGGTAATAGCAGTAGCGTCGACGGAGTATTAGTATTAGGCATAGCATAGCATAGGCCTCTGCGTACGGACGGCACAGTACTCCGTAGCATCGGCTTCGCGCAGCTGCGGCAAAGACCGTTGTCCAGTCGCTTCGTCTGGAGCCCCCGTTAGTGTCGTCCATAGGGCAAATTCACGTGGATAGGGGTACTCTATCGCTCCATTTGGCAAGCCCTTTTTTAAGCTTTTGGATCCAGATCGGCTGCCGGGCCAGACTCGATTTGCCTTTCTCGGCCCTCCAGATCACGGCGCTTCAGGTGGTTTTTTGGCTTCTACGTTTTGTTCAGCTCATACGTAATCAGCCAGTTCAGCCGCTACCAGAGAGGCGAATGGTGTCGCGTCGGTTTCCCTTTCTGGCTGTTCTGCTCACACGTCCAGCCCAGTCTGTGGCGCCTCCTTATTCGTACTGTTCCTCTGGCTGGGCTGTCAGCCCTTTTTTTGCTCTCAGCCTTTTGGTAGCTGGCAACTCTTGGGAGCTGAGAGGAAAACAAGCCATCGAGGGCATAAATACAAAACGACGAGGAACTCTATTCCAGCAGAGATGGGGGTGGTGGCTCAACCCTGAGGACGGAGGCGTTGGGTGTGCGGATGGTTGTTTGCCTTGTTATCCGTCGGCAGTTCGATTCAAACCAAGGGCGAGGCAAGCAACTAACTGGACAGTAGAGCACGGCCGTGTTCCGATGCGGCGAGAAAAGAAACGAAAAATAGGCCGTTGGGCTGGAAAAGGCTGCAACTCAACTCTTAGCTGTCTGCCAACCCAGAGTTGAAAACTCGGGAGCACAGTCACCCCCGCGAGTTGACTGGCCGGAACTCCCTGAAGCAGTTCGTCACGGTGGAGAAGGTTAGTCTTTGTTTCTTGCTCTAGGATCCATTCTTGTAGTAGTAGATGCACGGCGAAATTGCGCCCTCGCAAGACTCACCGGATAACATGTCAATCTTCAATTGCGAGGGGAGCTGCTGCACCCGCTGCTGCGTTTCACGATCAGTCACCCATGCGAAGCTAGCGTGCCAGTCGAGAGGCGCGCGGAACCAGACCCATGGCATGCAATGTGATTTGATTTGACTTGTGTCGCGGCTGAAATTGAGCTCGAGCTGGGTCAGCGTATCATCGTGGGAAGACGCCGGGGTGAGCCGAGATGAGGAGCCAATTTACTTAAGACTTTGCACGCATACTTTGCGATACTGTACACGTTTTCAGGTTGGTGCTGCTGAGAGAAGGGGCCAGAGCAGGAAATGAGAGGAGCGGCGAGGTCGCGAGAGAGGGTGAGAAGCTTTTGTCAGTCTCGTGTGAAGTCATTCGCATCATCGCCAGCGGTTGGGTGAGCTTGAGCCAGAGCCAGCGACAGCCGTCAGAGAGAGGAATGTGAGATGCAAGCACAGGAAAAACACTTTGCAGCTAAGGCACAGGCCAACACACACACACACTTACAGTCACTTCACACTAAAGCTCACTGGAGGGCTGAAAAGGTGCGCATCCCGTATCGAGAGAAATCGAGCGCCTCGTGATCAACGCTGGGTTACGAGTCCAGGCACCTCCAGCGGCACCTCCAGCGCCAGAAGGTTTCGATGGGTGGAAACCTTAGTCGTCAAGGCAGAGCATCGCATCGGCCGGAAAGGACGAGGAACATGGCGGCTGTGTAGGGGTACATGACCTCATTCATCTCTTGGCCATGTTTTCATAATCGGTGTTAATGTACCCTCAACTTGATGTTCATTTGATGGGATGCCCTCCCTCCTCACCTAAAGTACCTCCATACTAATAAGGCAGTCAACCAGTACAGTATCTAGCAAGCAAGGAACATTTGAACCCTGCAAGGCCCGTCGGTGCACTGGAAAACAACGTGGAAGAGGGGCAGCTCGAGCACGAACCCGGCCGCGAACCGCTAGTACCGGATACCACTATATCGAGTATTTTGCTACCTTACCTGACGTGAACGACTTAGTAACCCACGCAATGCACGGCCTCCAGTCAGGTACCTTCTTTTTTTTTTTTTCTTTTTTTTTTTTTTCTTTTTTTTTTTTTTCTTTTTTGTTCTTTTCTTCGCCTTGATCTCCATCCATCCTGCCTTAGTACGTGCTTGCCCTGTACATACCAAGATTGGGGGGGCGTGTGGCAGACCAGGCGCTCCTTCTCGGAAACAAGTTGCAATGTAACTACGGATGAGTGGCGTTTTCATCAAGGTCCTCTAATCTGCTGCCATCTATTTTCTCTCATACAACAAACACGATTCAATTTTAACACCCCGGACCTGGGACTAGAAACCACATGGCAACAGACCGGGGTGTCAGAGTCTGAATTCGAATCTGCACTGTCTGTCGGAACGCGCCCCGGCTCATGCATGTACCGTGCTGTGCTTGTTTGCTTGCTTGTCGACTCCCCTCTTCTCTCTCGACTCCTCCTGCTGCTCCTCCTCTTCGTCCTCGTCGCAAGCGGTCATCTCCCACTCGGAGCGCTCCCGTAAGGAGGGGGAACCAAAGGCCGTGGATGCTTGCAAGCGCGCGGGCACCAAGCAAAACCACCACAAACCCAAAATCCTGCCCTCTGACGGCCGTCCTCGCACAGGACACAAGATGGCGTCGCTAGGGCTAAGCAGCCTCTTGCCCCGCCATAACGGCGCTGGCGTACCACCATGGCATGTCAGAATCCAGTCTGTCGGGAGTGTGGCTCCAGCAAGGGATTGTCTCATGATCGCCCATCTCTGCGCCGTCAAATGCTGTCACACCGAACAAAGCATGTCCGCGTAACTACGGAGCTTGGTGTGTCCTGTACTGTGCGCGTGAGGGAAGAGGCGGCCCTGTCAGTCTGTCCGAACGAACCGCAGGCACGGCATCCCGCCCGCACCCCCCCAGGCGCTGCCTCTTGTCTCTTGGTCTGGCCGCCCTCCGCAAAAAGAGAGACAGTGATATTACGCCGTATTTCGCTATGTCCACAGCACGTCTATTGCGAGCAGGGGAGGCTGGTAACCCAAGACCAAGAGGCGGCGACCTTGTGCCGGGGCCAACCAGCACAGGCAACTTGGCAAATCTGCCAGCCTGCTTTAGACCATCTTACTAGCAAGCTGCGCACTCACATGTGCATGTAAACACGCATCTCTACATATTAAATCCCGGACCTCGACAGAGACCCGCCCAAAGCGCCCACCATCGGGCACTGGGCTCAAAGTGACGTGCCAGACCAGAGCGGCTACTAGGGGCGACGTCCTTCTCCCCTTTGATATCCATATCCGCTTCTCTCTCTTGTGCTCGCAGCCCTACGTGGCCACCGGCTAGTACGATACACTGGCCATCTACATGTGGATCAGAGGCGTGGCTGCATACCTTTCGACATCCGAGGCGGTGTTATTATTGCTCGCCGAGGTGGCTTGCACACTCCAGAGACTTGGGCGGCATCGTCGACCCGTGAGTGGCGCATCTCGCCCCAGCTCCAAACCGACATCCATGGATACACACGAATAAACGTGGGCGGGCTAGCTTAGTACGAATTCTTTGTGGAGGCTGGACCTCTCCATGTAACTGCTTGCTATCTGGGGCTGGCTGCCCACGCTGCTCGTCTTTTAGCGCGCTTCCCGTGTCCAACATGGCATCCATACGGTATTAGACCTAAGCCTAGGGTACGCAAGACAAGCAGTTCTTGTGTCCAGACTTGCCAAGTACATCTCCCGATTTCCCGCCTAATAAGCTACCTGGGTCCCCCAAATTACCTCTTCCTCATCCCTATATCAGAGCCAGGGACTCTTTTTTTGCCCGTGCAAGGTGAAAGGTGACCTGTGTGCGCCTGGGTCGTTGTCGTGTCTCCTTCTCCTCCCCGCTTATTGCTGGCTGGATAGCTCCTCTGGTCGCCTTTTAAACAGGTACGGCTGTCTGAGAGAGTGAGAGTGAGAGTGAGAGTGGGAAACGAGAGGGGATAACAAATGCCCATGTTTGCCTTTATTCCTCGGCCGCCGAACTCTTGACACCTCCGTCCTTGGAAGATACGGATGTTCCTGAATCCATTCCCTCCGGGGCACTTAGAAGCAGACAGACCCGTTTCTTTCGTCCTTCGTTGTCGCCGTCCAGGGCCGCGACTTGCTTGGTGGATCTTGCTGACCTTTTCTTCCTAATATTCTTTTTTAACCCATATCGCCTCTTCTCTTTTTTCTTTCTTCTCTTCTTCCGGCCATCTTGTATATCCAAGATCCCCATACGGACTTGAGGTCATGGTTGTTGTGGCTTTGAGTATATGGATTTCACCATCTTGTTTGACGAGACAACCTTTTCAGACCCCTCCAATATCTACTCCATCGCTATATGCCACCGAGAAAAAAAAAAAGCCCGCCGTCAGCGCTGCATATTTACGCCCTGCCTCCGCGCTCCCCTCCCCCTTGCGGACGCCATCTTTAACAAACCTTCTTCCGGATTCGAGCGATAGGTCGCTATTTATGCGGCCAAGTCAAATCGGGCCCTAAATGTCAACTCCTGCAGTAAGTGGTTCAGCCCGTGTATCATGTTTTCCCCTCCTCTCCTCTCTCCCCCAATCAACATTAGCATCTTGGAATCAGCAGCCGACTTACCCCTTCTCCTCTTTCCCTCACAACAGCAAAAAGCCAACCTTGCTCGCATCCGAGACAACCAGAGAAGATCTCGTGCTCGGAGGAGGGAATACATCGCGGAGCTTGAGCAGCGCCTAAGAGCTTATGAGCTGTCTGGTGTCGAGGCAAGTTCCGAGGTGCAGCTCGCAGCTCGGCGAGTGGCTGAAGAGAACAGACAACTACGGGAACTGCTTCACAAACACGGCTTCCAAGACGATTACATTTCTTCCTTCCTCCTACAGCAGGCCGGAGCCTCTTCCTCGACAGACCCGGTTCAGGCACTTCAACAAATCATTGCCCCTCGAAGGCCCGTGTCTCTGGACTCCAGCGTGCCTTTTCCCCTGCCCAGCCAGGTGACCAGGGAAATGCCATCGGCAAGCTTATCATCAGTCAGCGCGGCCCCATGGGATCCTCAGCAGGTTGCCATGCAATCATTCGGACATCCTCACGTCACTCCACAGCAGGTAGTGCCGCAGGGGCCGCATACTTACACTTCGCCAGTCTTCACCGAAGGGCCTGCGGCCTCCCTAAGGTCGTCTTCCTTCCAACACATGACCCCTTCAAGTTCACTGCTCGAAGACGTCTCTCAACACGGCGGAACCACGCAACCAGCAGTCGGAGAAAATCCCGCAGCACTGAATTACATTCCCATGAATCCGTACCATACCCCTACAAGTCGCGATTTTCCTCAGCAGCCTCAGCCTCCGCCTCCTCCCGGAGGCGGCTACTATTGACGGAGCAAGCCGAAAGATGAATTTACGCACGACGACCCCCTCATAGCTTTGGCGTTCTGATGTACGAGACGATTTCATGTGTTCCCCAAACAGAGACTCGCATGGTCAGCGAGAACACGGGACTCTGCTGGGTTGATCGCAAGAGATGTCGTGAAATCTAGGTGCGCCATGCGCCCAGACGTTGCTGGGTGGGCAACGCGACAGGGCCCCAGCCACGACACGCGCGAAATCGCGAAATCGCAAAGGACAAAGCCAAACCAGTCCCTGGATGCCGGCCAGTCTTTACCGCACATGGCGTCTTCGATATACGGAGCCGCACTTATCGAGTCAACAATGCGGCAACGAGATACGCGGATGCTTCCAGAAACAAACGGGGGGGACGCTATCTGCTGCTTTGTACCCGATGACACGAGGGCCGTCAAGGATCCCGGCAGTGGACACGATCGAGGCATAGCCTCTGAGGAAGAGTCTCAATGCGGAACGATGGCCTGAGTTTATGTGTGGACCCCGGCAGAACCCCCCTGGTTCCTGTCATTAAATACAAACCAAAAGGAGCAGATACCCGGCTTACGACGTTGCAGCGGCCAACTTATGCTATACCTTGTTTCTTTCTCCCTTGGCAACCTCGAGGAAGGGATCGAGTTGAAATATCAAATGTCAATTGTTAAGCACAGTTTGTGATCTGGTAGAATATCTGGTGAATGATTTTGTCTACGGGCAGGCTATATGATCAAAGGCTTCATTCCGGAGTTTTTTTTACTTTGGACGAGATGGATACGAATGTGTACCTGCGTTTGGTGTATGATAGGTGGCGAGTTAGATATACCCCCCAAGGCGATTGAGTTAATATGATGCCGGGCGGCAACCTTTTTGCTTGTTAGCTCTGCGTTATCTGGCCCATCTATTCGCAAACGATTAAGATATTACTCTCTCCGAGTATTACTCCAGTGAAGGGCCGTTTCCATCTAGTTTTGCTCGCCGCCAGCCTCGCGGCGCGTGGAGCAAGACTAAGGTAGACTAATACTACATGTGCCCCCAAATGCTTAGTATTGCCCGCAACCCGCTTGCTGGGAAAATGGCTGACTAAATTTGTGGCTTTTTTTTTTTCCTGTACTTGAGGAGAGAAAGTTGCGCTGACTGATGAGAGAAGTTGTTGGTAAGACGGCTAAACGGGTGGGAGAAGTGACGACTAGAAGGCCTAGAACGTCCCTGACAAATTTTGGTAGTTGTATTATTCAAGAGTCTTCTTCTTATCTGCGTGCGTAATGCTCCCCACGATCAACGTGAAAGAGTGGGAATTAGCACGTGGGTTGGAGATGAGGCTTTGACGCCTTGTTAGTGTTACTAAGAGAAATAGTAAAAGCAAAGAGAAAAAAAGTGAATGGGGTTGTTTATGGAGTATATTATCGAGGGTTGTGGGCGAGTTGTGAATATTAAGGACGAGTTGAAAATATCTGATTCGGATATATTCTAGGGTATGACGGCTGTATGCAATTTTTTTTTTTTTTTCAGCATGAAGTTGTCGCAACTCTGTGCCTGTACTATTTAGTCGCCTTAACTGTCCATACCACATCTGAAAAAAGAGGGAGAGAGAGAGAGAGAATTAATTGACAATAGAATTGGTAATATGGCCAAAAATTATTCTTCAACCTCTATTGGTAGAAGCCGCGAAACAGACTTTCTGCTCACTCTACGACAGCCTATTTTTGCATGCGCAAAGTGCGCTCACAACGTCACTCGAGTCCGGAGCCAGCGCCTAAACCACGGCTTAATTGCCATGTGATGCTGTCACAAAATTCCATGCAATGCCCGGACGCCTCCGAAACTCGGTAGTTCGGAATCGACCCGCCATGGCGTTATTCCGCCTGAGCCGCACCGCCACTAAAAACTACATCATCAGATGTTTCTAGTTCCGCATATATGAGTCTTTGCTCGCGCCTTTTCTCCAACGCCGTGATTCTGCGAGCCAGATAACAACTCTCGAGACGCAGCAAAAATGCGAAGCAGTGTCGTGGCTAGCAGGCCCTTGAGCCGGATAAGCTGCTCGGCGTGTTGCGCCCGGAGCCGGCAGTTTAGCAGGTCGTTTCGGGTGCAGTCGGCACAACCAGTGGTCATGCGAGCGGGATTGAGTGGCGGCGTTGGAAGATATCTTGATGCTGGAGCGAAGCGCGGGACATATCAGGTTTCACTGGCGACGACGAGATCTATGGCGACCGTTTCAGATCGTCCGGTGGTTGGGTTGGGTCCGTTGGAGGAGTATGACCGGCGGGTAGACGCTGGGATTCTGCGGAATGACGAGCATCAACGAGGTGAGCTTGCGCGATGACAATGTCTCTTTGTAGCTATATCTAACTAGTACGATACTACAGGCATCATCGAGAACTTGCAACATCTCCACAATGAGCTGCGCAACTACCATGCACCGCCTGTTGTCCATCCTAGCTTCGATCTCCTCAAGCCCGCCAAGAAGTCCGTCTTCTCCTCGTTATTCGGCAACGGAGGCGCCGCAAAGGCTACGATTAAAGATATTCCAGAGAACCTACCTCGGGGGTTGTATCTCTTCGGTGACGTGGGCAGTGGCAAGACGATGCTCATGGACCTGTTCTACGACACCCTACCCAGCACGGTCAAGACGAAGACGAGGATACACTTCCACAACTTTATGCAGGATGTCCACAAGAGGCTGCATAAGCTGAAGATACAGCATGGCAGTGATGTTGATGCCGTGCCGTTTGTTGCGGCGGACATTGCGGAGCAGGGCAATGTGCTTTGCTTTGACGAGTTTCAGTGCACGGATGTGGCAGATGCTATGATTCTGCGAAGGTAGAGCCTCCCTTTACTTGAAGTCATTTTAATTTCAATAAGACGATGGGCTGACTTGAATGAATAGGCTACTAGAAAGCCTCATGTCTCACGGCGTAGTCCTGGTAACGACGTCGAACCGACACCCTGATGACCTCTACAAGAATGGCATCCAGCGAGACTCATTCATCCCGGCAATCAAACTACTCAAGAACCGCCTACACGTCATCAATCTCGATTCACCAACCGACTACCGCAAGATCCCTCGGCCACCCTCGGGGGTATACCACACCGCCCTGGACCAGCACGCCGAGTCGCACGCAGAGAAATGGTTCCGCTTCCTCGGCGACTCGGAGAACTTTTCGCCACGCTCCGAGACGCAGAGGGTCTGGGGGCGCGACATTTTCGTTCCGCGCGTCAGCGGGCGGTGCGCCTGGTTCACGTTTGACGAGCTCATCAAGAAGCCCAAGTCGGCGGCGGACTA